TGGTTTGATGCAACACAAGATTATGGAGTTGGGCTGGAAAGTTTTCCCTCACTCACCATATTCTCCAGATATGACACAATCAGATTACCATATTTTTCGTTCGTTGCAACACCATCTTAATGGGAATAACGTATGCAAATATGAAAGGTGTTAAAGAGGGCATTGACATGTTTTTTGTTTCAAAGCCAAGCGATTTCTTTAATCAGGGGATTAACAACCTGATTGTAAGATGGAAAAGCATCGTCGATAAGAATGGATAATATTTAATTTAATAAATGGTTTGTTTTGATACATAAGTTGTTCGGGTTTTTCATCTAAAAAAAAGCGACATTAATTTCTTGACTACCTAATATAAGCATCAAGCCATATTGTTAAGGAGGGCATGGCGTAACCTAGTTAGTCCTAGTAGTTAGAGTGCCGAATTGGGGGGAACAAAGATCCATGATTCAAACTCGTGATATGCCGTTGGACACGCTTTGCACTTTCAGCTGTAGGCACGTTATAAAAGCATCACTCAACCACACTATTCGGTTAAGAGTAACTGTATCAGCGACGAGTGTAGTTGACTGGTTTCCCTCCCTTTGTTCAGTAATTCATAATTAGGGACAGTTTCGCCTAAACTTAGAGGTCCCTGACCTCTAAGTTTACCTCATGTGTAATAATGTACCGTTAAAAGTGAAAATACTAAACATCAATTTTTTAAGGGCTGGTTAGTAATAGATTTCTTTATTCAATTAGCGTTTCTTTCATCGATATTCAGATAGAGAATTTTGAATGTTCAATGTTGTAAAATAGAATATCTCAATCTTTATGGTACTAAGACAGTAACAAATAAATAACAAAAGTTGTTGTGAACAAAATAGGAAAAGACATGTATGAATGCCATTTCTAGTAAGTAGAACCAAACCAAGATACACCATTGCTGAACGTATGTGATGTGACTCTTGTACGGATACATTCGTACAGTTCTTTAGTTGACTTCTTACACCTGTTTGTTTGCTAAACGTAATTTGCTCGATTTCAAACAACTGAAGTTCTGAAAGACCACAATAAAGTGAAGGTATTATTTAACCACTTTGTTGTTAGGTAGATGAACATACGTGATGTGTAATTCATGAATTTAATATGAAGATATTACAAACTGTTTATAAAAAACTAATTTGCATAATTTGCAAAAAAATCATTCACCTATAGTCTAAAACCGTTTTACTTTGTGTTATTAAATATAAAAAAACATATATATATATATATATATATAGTATTGATTGTTTTGTATGCAATGTAATTATGTCTCCATAGAGAGACATACTGTTTTTTTTTATTGTTTTTCTTCTTTCTTTCCTCTTATTCCATACACTTTTCATTAGACCGCCATTCCTTCATTTCTCGGCGGACTGACTTGAAACTTGGTAGGATTATACCTTGGTCCAATACGCCAAGACGCCATTTTCATTTTTCTGATTTAGCTCTATTTAAGGATTTTAGGTGCCATAGGTCATACAACTCGAAAATGTATATTTTAAGGTCATGTGCTGTTATACTTACAGCAATCAAGACGAAAATTGGTACAAATATAAATTTTCATGCGCCCAACACATTAACTTAAAGTTGGATTTGCCCATTTTTAGTTTTTTCAGGAAGTTAAAGTTCAAATACGGCATAATTTTGGAATTGTTGGTCAATTACTCGGCCATATTTTGACACATTTACATAGGATTTGATACAAAGATACTTTTCTATAGGTCCCACACATTGAGAAACGAGAATGGTGGACTTGCCCATTTTTTTAGCAATTATAGGGAGATTAAGATGCCACAAAAAGCATAATTTTATGAGTTTTTGACAATTACTCCGCTATATTTTGGCCAATTTCCATGGCATTTGGTGCAAAGATATTTTTTTTGTACAGGTCCAATACATATACATACAAAAATGTGGGGTGTGCCCATTTTTGCTTATTTTAGAAGTCAAAAAGGTTAAATAAATCCATAATTTTAGAGGTTTTTGGTCAGTTACTTTCGACCAATTTACATGGAACTTGACATAAAGATGCTTTTCTACAAGCAACACACATTAACAGACAACAATATGTTTTTTCACGATTTTTCTGGTGTCAAAATTAGCCATGCTGAGATTGAGTGGAGGAGGCATGTTGCATTCGCCCGCTAATGTTGGCCTCTCTAATTTGATTTTACAATTTATTTTTAAACCAATTGATTAGTTTGAATAATCAGTAATACCACTTTTAGCTGAATTCTTATGCATGGTATTCTGGTATACAGATGTCCGACAGGTTCGTCTAACGTATCTACAAGACTCAGGTTCATGACTGTTATGTAAAGAATAAACTCAACTCGGACAACAAAGGAAAGTCACACACAAATGAACAAGTAAACAAAATATTTATCTACTTGAAGTTTGTATATTTTTTACCAGATTGGCCACCTCTTCTTGTTTATACTGAAACTGAACTGCTGAGGCTGGAGAGGTTTTTCAAAACGTCTGCTCAGAACAAGGACAGAGAAGACTCATTTATATCGCACAGAAAAAGGGTCCAAGTATGGATCCCATAATTCGTGGTTACCTACGTCATCGACTATTCCAAATGGTATATTCAAAGAAGATAACCCCAACTCATACTAATTTGTATATATATATATATATATATGTCACCTCTTGAGAGTGGATACAGACGCAGGGCCAACTAGATACAAGCTTCCACGAGATAGCCAATATCGTATGTAACCGTTACCGTATACAAGAATTAGCACATCTTTACGACCATTTGGCATTTATCATGTGTGCGTGCAGGCTTGCTTAGAAATTATTTAGCAAAATTATCTTAATGTACCTGAATAATGACATAATTTAAAGTTATTATAGAAGTGTGAAATTTTATCTCGGGGTCTTCCCAAACCCTATCATAAAATTAATTAATACCGGCTGAATAGTAAACAAATTACCAGGTCCTAAGATACTGCAATCATCTCCCTCATGTTGCACACAAGACGCCATGACAGTTACACAAACATAAAAAAATCACATAAGGCCTAGCAACCAATTATAAAAACTAGAATAAAATATAACTTAATACATCAAAACACAATAAACTCCAAATCGTAATACACAATACAAGATGGAATCAATTGTGGGTAGACATTAAAAAAGTAACCGAACTTAGGATAACTCAAAGCTAACTCAAACTGAAACGAAATTACAACACAAAATGAAATTAGAATAAATTAAAAATATATTATAAAAATCACAAAAAAATTAAATAAGAATAAGGATACAATAGAAGACAGTTACATCATTACATTACAAAATTAAAACATATCACAAGTGAATAAAATCAAAGCGGAAACATATAAGCAAGATTTAAACAATTTACAACGGTATGTAAAAAGTCGATAATTTGAAGGTTATATTCAACTCTATTTATTAATATTTTATTCTCCACTTCACCATTATTAACCTGTTTGTTTTTAACAAACTCGGCCCGGCATGGCCAGGGTGTTAAGGCGCTCGACTCGTAATTTGCGGGTCGCGGGTTCAAATCCGTCCCACCAAACATGCTCGCCCTTTCAGCCATGGGGGCGTTATAAGGTGACGGTCAATCCCACTATTCGTTGGTAAAAGAGTAGTCCAAGAGTTGGCGGTGGGTGGTGATGACTAGCTGCCTTCTCTCTAGTCTTACACTGCTAAATTAGGGACGGCTAGAGCAGATAGCCCTCGTGTAGCTTTGCGCGAAATTCAAAACAAAACAAACAAATTTAACAAACTCTATAATGATGTTATCATAAGGTTAATATGATTTAATTTTATCTGAAATGTATGTTATTGTATGTATTTGGCCTACATTGAGCAAGATTTTTCAGTATTTAAAAGGAGTGTCGGAAACATTAACCATTAATAAAATATCAAAAACTCAGTTCGTCTAAAATAGGTTTTAATAAAATATAATCGTTTTTCCATGCAAACACAGAAAGGAAGTTCATTGGGGGATTGTGGGTCTTGTTAGC